ACGAACAACCCCAAAAAAGGTACGAGCGAAGATTTCAATGTCAAAACGTCCCCTAACCTGATATTAACTAAATACTACTATAATACAATAATATAATATAACTAACTATACAATAATAATAGAAAGTCTTATCTCATAGTTAATCTTCCTTTCGATTATGTCAAATCTTCCAATTCAGTTGTAGGCAGTAGGTTCAGGTGTAGTGGTGCTAGTTGGTTTTGAGTATATCATTTTCTGGCAAATTTCGCGTAAGACCTAAAAAGAGGTAAACATAGAATTTCATTACATTTATTTGTATGGGTTGTAGAAGTAATTCTTGGTACCCACTTGCACATATCCTTTAATTAGTGGTCTTTTAGTGGTCCGTGTATATCTTGGAAAAACATAAAATACAACGTCTTCTTTGAAAGATATCTGAAATGAGAAAAAAAAAACACAAATGCCCCTAATAGGGACGAACTTACAAACGGGGCCCCGGTTATATTAATGAAAGAATATATGATTATAACTAAGGTCTAATTAACAATAGTACGATAAAAACCTCCTGGTGTATAGGCATATCCTCCTGGCAGTTATTTGGAAGTCCTGGTGCTTTGTGGTGCGAAAAGAAATTAATTCTGTAATCCTGAAATAAAAAAAAAGATTTATACATATTACTTAGCAGTATGCCAATATTTTTTATGTCTTGATAAATCAATTAGTCTGACCAATTTCTCCTATGGGTTGTGGAAGTAGTTCTTGATACTCACTTGATAAGCAATTTTCTTGGAAAGACATCTGAAATGACATAAAAAAAACACGAGTGTCCCTAAAAATATGGGCAAACATACAAACGGGGCCGCGGTAACAAAAATAAAAATATTATATACTTATATCTAACCAAGGTCTAATTACTTAATATTATTCTTATGAATACGAGAAAACCTGTAGGTATCCATATTGAGGTGAACTAAAAGGGTTAAGGGTACTCTTGTTAGAGTGTAAAGATTGCTATTTGGTATGTTTAGCATCTCACTCCCCAATATGAAGGGTTTACCTTAGCGCCCTAATTCGACTCAACAAAACCCGCAGTTACCAGTGGAGATTTTAACTAACTACACAATTAAAACAGAATCTACTTACCAACTTATTGATTGGTACCGAGTTATGTTTACAGATCCGAGAGCTTGACCGCACTTATGTATAGCGATGCATTAAGCCTAAATTCGAATGTACTAACGATGGGGTAATGATAAAGCTAGAAATTATTAATAATGTATAGAACGGCGTAATTACGCAGGGGAAAGCTTAAAATCGGAAAACTCGATCGGATTTTTCTAGATCGTGTTCTTTTTCCCTGGCACAACATCACAACCATCACTAATGCACTAACTTGTGTCCTCCGTATTGGATTGACCACCTGAGAGGACTGATACTAAAAAACCATCGCGACTCCGGACCTCATACGATAGGAGCCTTATAGGCAGGTGGGGATTTAGTTTAGGAACTCCTTGGAAATGATGTATGTAGTCTTTATCGCGACTCTGGACCACATACGACAGGAACCATATAGGCGGGCGGCGGATGTAGTTTGCACTAAAGGTTGTGCAACTCTTTGGAAACATTGTATGCTGTCGTTACAAAGACGCAATCACTTTTTAAGTATCAGTCCTCTGAGGTAGTCAATCGAGTCGGAAGTACACAAGCCCTCGAGGCAGATAGTGCATAGTGGTGCGTGCGTTGTTCCATGGGCGAAGAACACACAATCCAGAAAAAGTGAAAGTTCTCCGATTGTAAGCGATTCCCTTTGTGATCACGCCGTATCATACACATCTATAATTTAAGCTTTATGATCAACCAACAATAGCATATCAGAATTTAGACTTAAGACATGACTACAAAAATACAGTCATATCTTGGCACCTACGACGAACACAACTAGGTAACATTAAATAAATTAATAAGTATAGATTCTCGGACCGATTCTGCGCATAACAGAGAAATGTTACGGAATGGCTATGTTACGCTCCGACTCCCCATACATTATGCGAATGAATCATACTGAATGCTGTCAAAATATCAGGTATTTGCTGTTCATTCCGGCGTTTTAAGCATAAACTGCAACGTCACTCGTATGTTACCTAAGAGGAATGAGAAACACACACTTATCTAACATCGTTTTTTTGACATTTGTGCGGCTTTTAGGTTATGTTTTGTATGAGAAGACCTGAGAAATTCGCCTGACTGAACACCAACCGCATAACTTTTGTCTATATTACTATGGAAAATTCTTCATAACATGAACTTATCATAACATTGCGGCAGAATCGGTCCCTATGTTTCATTCGTGTAGTTAGTTACGCACTCTACAGATAATTACCGGTTCTTATTAAAAGTCAGATTGGAGCGCCAAGGTAAACCCTGTATATTGGTAAACGCAATGCTAAGATGTACCAAGTAGCAGTCATTGCACCCCAAAAAGGGTACCTTCAACCTTTTTAATCCACTACAATCTCCTAGCAGTCCTGGTGCTTGCCGTCGCGGTGAGAAATTAATTCTGCAACCCTGAAATGAAAAGTGACTTGAAAGAAATGAAATAGACAATAACTTATAAATACTATGTGGTAGCCTACTAGTATTTATTCCAGTTCTGTGGTATATCATATCAACCCCCTGGTATCTTTAGTCGAGGCCCATTTACACTAAAATAAATGTCAATTTTGTTATTTTTTTACATAATTTAGGGTTTTGTATCATCTAACCTTTTTTTTATTAAACAAAACAGTTTTTTTTAAACAAAACGTCTTCAACATTTCTCCGTTTAGGAGACTTATTGTGCAAACACAAAAAAATTAAATTATTTAATTAAAATATGTTCATTGATCACAGTAGAAAAATCAGTCAAAATAAAAACAAGTAATTTATTTAACAAAGTTTTTAAATTTTTAGACGAGTTATTTACATCCATGCTACTAATAAAATAATTCCAAAAAATTAAACATTGTACATATAATTCTAATTAGAAATTAAAGTGTATGGGGTTGCGTTGCTTCTGGGAAAAACATCGCAAGGACCCATACACCGAATGAAAAAAAAAAATTAACGAAACGCGAATTACTAGAACCTGCCGTGGGGGGTAGGCGACAGGAACACATTTAAACGCGGAAATTGTTTTAAACGATATTAAAATTACGAATAAGTTCTCGCACGAACAAAAAAAAAAAATTAAAATGTGGACGCAAATAACTCAAAATTATAATTTAACAAAATTATAAAAAATAATTAAAAATTGTCAATGTGATTGAATAAAAAAAAATTCATGCACAATAAATCCTTAAAGCAATCCGCCACTGCGCAAAACGCTGTATGAAGTCTGAAACAAAACAAATGTAGTCAATCGTAAATATTTGAAACATAAGATTTATATTAAAATTTAAAATTATTTAATTATATTTAAATTTAATAATCTAAAGATTGCATTAAATTATTTATGTTAATTCAAAGGCTAAAATTAAATATTTTCACAACAATAAACACTAAGGCGACACTTCAGCACAAATATATTAGATTAGAAAATGTAACGCAAATCGTTTAATATTAAAGAGACGAATTTTTACTTCAATTTATTTATATTCTTATAATTATAATTCAACAGAAAATCAAGTCAAATCGAATCCAAAACACAAGTTCTATGACACATATTTGAAACTGAATGCACGAAATGATTACATAATACATAAATATTTTTTGAAAGACTTACCACTGACTGTAGTATCCACCGAAAGGTCCAAATACAGAGTGATTTTAGTTGTTAGTACGCACTTCTTTTATTGGGGTCAGAAAGGGACAAAACTATGAATTGTTACCAGATGATACTAAAATTCAAAAATTGTTATCTAATTGAATAGTTTCGGGTTCGGAACCATAGAGGGTGCAATACGAAAAGTTTATTGTACCTCACAATCAGTCATAATTCAACCTTCGTGCGAGATGGTCGAAGTTATTACTGCTAATATTTGCATCTAGTTCTGTTTGATTCATATGTTTGATTTGATTGTGAAGTATTATTTGTATTAAATACGTTTTTATTTGTATTTGCGTCTTATTAATTTGTGCGTTTTTATATATAATTGTAAAAAGGCACAATGCCATACACCCCAATAGTTTTATTTTATTTTATTTCTCACAAAAAGGCTTAATAATTTGATAATTTTTATTTTAAATATGATACATCACTAAAAATATTAATGAGATAAGAAAATAATTGAATAAGTTTGATTAGAAAACGAATAACATTCTATTTCATAGAGAATTATCTAGATCAAGATCAATCCTTAAAATAAATTGCCGTGACAAAAAAAAATCGAAAAAATTTGCCGCCCCCCAAATTGTGCCGCCCTAGGCCCGGGCCTCACGGAAAAAAACAAAATATAATATATATATATATATATATATATATATATATATACTATCTTCCTCATAATTTGCGACCATTTATTATTCTATATTAAATCTACAAAGTTTGCAATCTACGACATCTAATCATTATATAAATATTTTTATATGACGAATATAACACGTGTTTGACATGTGGATATTATTTTATATAATGTCCCTTGAATATGATTGGCACCTGGCAAAATATTTTTTCTAATAATACATTCCAAGAATTCGATTTGTTTTCGTATGACTTATTTATGATTTTCACATATAAGGGCAATTAGGAAACACTAAACGAGAAAATTAGTTCAATAAGTCATGTGTAAAAGAAAATCATGTATTTTAATCACTCAAAACTTCTTGTTTTCATGGTTTTATTATTTTTGATAAAATGTGATTTAATAATAAATGAGATCTTAAGCAATATTTTCAACAATTGCGATTGCGATATTCTGAAAAATACTTTATTTTGGGAGGTTTATAAAAATAATTTTGGCAAGTATAAAGAAGTTATAATTGTGAAATTATCAAATGAGAATTCATCGTATTTTGAAATTTACAATGAAGTCGTAAGTCATATAATGCACTTAAATATACACCCTGTTAGATTTGAAATTTTAAATTATAAGAAAGTGACCGATATTCGTTATATTGACACTTTTTATTGGAATGGCGAAAAAATCCCTTTGGAACCAAATGTTACTATAGATTATAACGACATACCTGTACAAAACGTTGTAAAAAATCTTCTGATTATTGTGGAAAATGAAGACTTGTTACAATTATATACTGAAGGAGTCCGACGGTATCCATTTTTTGCACCGATGTCTCAATTTATCGTTATCATAACCAAAAATGCAACAAATGATTCAGATGTAACAGTGAAGTCCATGCTGGTAAAATTATGGAATCATTATGGAATAAAAAATGTTTTAATTTTCACCTGCTTTGGTGGTCTAAACGATTTTTATTGGTATGATCCTTTTGGTAAAGAAAATGGAACCTATGGTCTTGTACAAAAAGGTATAGATCATAATCATCATCTAATAACAAGAAAAGTTACTGATTACAATGGTTATCCATTGAGATTAAGTGCTTTTCACAGATATCCTACAGCGTTAGTAAATAAAATCAACGACACTAAAATCAATAATAAAACTGAAACTGCATATGAAATGAAGGGATTGGATGCAGTTGTTTTTAAAAATTTGGCCAGTGATCTGAATTTAACAGCAAGAGTCATTATATCATCAAAAGAACGATATGGTTTCAAGGATGATACTACCCAAATTTTTCTCGGATCAGCCGGAGATATTCTTTATCACCAAGCCGACATAAACATAAACAGCCGTTTTGTAAAATATTATGATTCTTATGAAATTGGATTTGTGCACCCTATATTAACTGACCAAATGTGTGTAGTGGTTCCAAAATCCCAAGAGATTCCTCAATGGAGAGCGTTATTTCATTGTTTCAAGAACACTGTCTGGATGACCTTTGCTTTGCTGAATATTTTGTGTGGTTGCATTTGGTATGGAATCAAATTGTTATGCAAATATTTTATAGCGAAAGATAGAAAGTTGAAGGGTTTTGAAAAAATACAATATAATATGTTTATACTGATGACATCTGGACCAGTAACATACTTGGGCAACAATGCTGCTGAACAAGTGTTCATCGCTGGATGTTTAGTATTTAATATAGTTGTTTCTGGAACATTCCAGGTAGGAAATTTAATTACAAATTGCCAATTTATTGTACTGATAAAACATATTCTAGGGTTCTTTAACCAAAGCATACACCGCAACTATATATTATCCTGACATAAATACTTTAGAAGATTTGGATGAATCAGGCCTTTATATTTACACTAGTTCTCCTGGTATGATGGATTTATTTGGAAGTGGTAGCGATGATGAAGTGATAAACGCCCTTGGTCGAAAACTTTGTCTTACAGAAAAAAGAAAGAGTATAAAACTTGTCGCAAAAAATAGAAATATTGCATCAGTGGAACGTTATGATGACGCCAAGTTATTGGAAACAGTTACGTAAGTAGATGAAATATAAATTGAATATACAATATAAAACGTTCAGGCTACAATGAATGAAGCTTATAAATCCTGAATTTTGTTTAATTGTACATTTTTGGAGACCCATATATGCACATCACCTTTTTATAATTTTTCAACATATATTTTCCGATTGGGCAGTATTAATAAATTAAATTAAATGTTGAATTAAAGTAACTTTTGAGTTAAAGTATTTATATTAAATATATTTGAATAATGAAATTTCCAGGTTAATTTGCGTTATGCTAACTCACAATTAGAGAATTACAACAACGTTCAGAATCTTTTCATTTTCATAATATTATAGGAACCACCGATGACAGCCAAAATACCACCGACGATGCTAAACGTCGAGGAGATCAGTTAAACAGATAAAGACGTTTGATGTTTATGTTTATTTCATGACTTCTTGTTTACTTTATATATAACTTAAATGTAACTCCATTGATTACGAAAGTACTACTGACTCATTTTGACTGAAATATATTGATGTGGACTTATTGAAGACTTGATGTGGACTTATTGAAGACTTGATGACGACTGATTTGCAAATGCGTCATGCTTAGTATTTATGTGCCTGCTTCTATGTGACATTGTAATCCTTGTTCAATGTCACTGCCTAGTGCAAGTCTATGCTTTATTGAGTTGTTAAGACGTAGTTTGTGGTTTGTCAAGGAATTTCATCAACGCTTGCAAGGTTACTACGAGCATACAATGTATTGTAGCATGATTCATGAAGAATACTGCGTAGTTTTTATTTCGACCGTTATATATTAGTTTATAATATTATTCATAATTATTAAAAATAGGTGAATACCACTACCATATATTACCTGATATTTAATTACATAAAAAATGTATTGATGTAATATTTTTTATTTGATTATTAGTATGTATGGTCAAGTCCACGTAATCCCTGAATGTCCAAGAGATTATCATATATCATACATTGTTAGAGTTGGATGGCCAATGCTTCCTGATTTTGATAAAATGATTTCGAGATATATTGAAGCTGGACTTACATTTTTGTGGTTTGATCGTTCTGTATATGAAATTGCTCTTCCTTTCAGGTAAATTTGAATTGAATACTTTAAGTGTTCATTTTAACTATATTTTTTGTGGAAGTGTGATTTGTGATCAAATTAAATAATAACTACAGAGATAGGTGATAATAAAAACAAATATACTTTAGTGTAAAAATTTGCTGTAAATAATTTGAACGTTCATATATCGTATATCATCAAAATATTGATACAGGTATTACAAGTAAAAATAGAATAATTCTCTGTAAATAACATTGTAATAATAGCTCTAAATATAATAATCTATTTCTGTACAATTGGAAAAACAATAAGAAAATAACATAAATGCGTAAACCAAATATAAACGAAAAATAATTGTAGTTGAAGAATTATCCTAATTCTAATTTTAGGTACAATATGACTTATGAAGATCCTATTTTCGCTTTTGATTTGGAAGATATGCAAACGGCTTTTTACGTATACACAGCCGGATTACTAATTTCTATAAATGTATTTTTATTGGAAATAATATTGGGAAAGGTTCTAATGAAATCAGCCGAAAATGAAAATAATACATGTGGAACTTTCTGTATCGAGATTAAAAAAATAAGATCAACCGTTTGTGAAAACAGTTTGTCGAATATTTCTAATAGCGTTAGAAATCTTTGGCAAGTGGATGATTGAAATAATATTACAGTTCTATGTATATTTTTTAATAAATGGTTTTATTGATGTGTGTAAATATAGTTGTTGATAAATTAAAGATCTGCCAAGAAAATGAAAGATCAACAAAACATGAATGTGTTTATGAACAAGTTTTTGTTAAATTATTGACTTCCCGAAGGAGAATGTTGATGAATTACGTTTTTATCAAAAAATTCGATTCGCTAATTTTGTGTTTTCTCGACGTTTCAAGCCATTCTGAATCGAATGAGACCAAATTTGGAAAAAGTATGTGTGTATCTGTGTGCGTGTGCGTGACCAGATTTTTTGGAGTAAATCTTTCTCAAAAACGGTTGGACTAATTTCAAAAATTTAAAAGCCATTCGATGTATCTCAATGAGGACTATTGTTTGTCAGTTTTGTGCGACGATCGGCCAAGCCGTTTTTCATAAATAGTAGAAAAGTGAAAAAATTTTCATCCACATTTTAGCTCGTTATTCTGAATCGAAAAGATACTGGTTGGGAATCGTGCTGATTAGTTTTTGGCAGTTAAATTTTTTTTTCGACTATTATTATTATTATTATTATTACTTTATTATTATTAATATAACTTTAAAAAATTGTCAAAGTTTGCAAAAATTAGTATCGTTTTTTTGGCACTTGTCAAAATTAGACCTTTCATCGACGTTTGCTCAAAAACGCCTGAACAGATTTCAGAAATTTAAACACCATCTGTATCTGTATCTCGACGAGAATTATCGTTTCTAAGTTTTGTGCTTGAAGGAATATTTTAAATTTTTATATAATGAAATGAAACTTCGTTTCAATTTAAATAACTTTGCTTATATTTTTACAATAATAGCTTAAAAATCTTTTAAATGTGTTATATATATTTTTAAATTTTAAATAATGACTATCTAGAAGTATTACATTGTTTTGGCATTTAATTCGAAATTATTTCATTACAAAAATAATTTATCCTCAAAATATCAAATTTGAAGATACTTTAATTCACTGTTTTGCCTAAAAACATACAAATTTTACTTAAATTTACATCTCAAATCGATCGTAAACATTGCATTAATAAAAGTATATACTATATATATCTAATAATTCAATATATAATTCAAAATTATTTATAACAATATTGAAGAATGGACAAAGGAAAGAATAAAGTCTTGTTTTAAATGTTTTTTAAAATATTATAAAAATGATCTAATATGAGATTCAAAACAACAAGATGACTATGCATTATGATTATCGACAAAAATCGCCTGTATTGATGTACATTGATATTATCTAAATATTAGCGAAAAAGCGTTTTATCTTTTTAGTTTTGTACAAAAGTTAATTATCAAATAGATGTTTATGAAAACCCGTAATTTATTTTTACCTAATTCACTTTTTTATAAGGTTACGTGGAAAAAATCATTGATAGTATATTTAGAAACAGTAAGCTTAGGATGAGTTTTGATGGAGACATTGATGATCCGTCGCCGCATAACTCTATAGAGCTTTCCTGAAATAGTAATGAAAAATTAGTGCAAATTATTAGAACAAAAGATTGATATAAAATGAAAGTAGAAATTTGAATATGGTTTAGAACTGTTTTTTATCTAGTTTTTTATCTTGATTTTCATCTAACTGTTTTAAGGCAGTTTATATACAGTGGTACCTCGACATACGTTTAATTTATTCCGTACTCACGCACGTATGTCAATTCGCTCATATCTCGAAGCACGTTTTCTATATAAATGCATTGAAATGCCGTTAATTCGTTCTAGCAATATGGTTTTTGTTAAGTTTTTGAAATATTAAAAATAAATTTACCATATATCAATTTAATTATTATTTTTTCCTGCCCATTAATGATATTGTGGAAATGAATTACACGTATTTTTTTAACAACTCCCACACTCAAACTTTTTTGGGGTGATTTTTATTCACACATTTTAAAGCTCAGAAAGCTGTTTATAAATTACTACAAGGCCCTTTTCTGGAGTTATCGTATTTATCAAATCCTTTTGTTTAAACGCAGTACATATCTATGATGGTACATCCTTGTCATCCTTATATTTTTCACAAATTTTATCCTTTAATTCAAAAGACATAGCCCTTTTCTTTAGATCCGTGGTTATAAAATTACATAATATTTTGTAAATGTGCAAAAACCAAAAAAACGCAAAATCAATTTATATAACTATACAATATCTTTTACAATCTACACAAAATCTACATAACATCTACACAAAATTTCAAACGTTATTATATTCCTTTATATATTCGCGTGGGTGAATACTTGTATACTACACAATTAATATTAATATATAATTAACATTTTTAAATAGAAAATAATTTACTATCATGAAACAGCCAAACTATTTATGTATTATAATAATCATAGTCACAGTGACGAAATTATTCATATCTTCATTAGGCCATTGACATTCCTATAAGAAACTCTTACTCGCCCAAGGCTCGTATCTCAAATTCTGCTCCTATGTCGAGACAACAAAATGTTTTTTGGCGGCTTGTATCTCAAAACACTCATATAACCAATCACTTCTAAGTCGAGGTACTACTGTATATAAAAAATTGATGACCAAAAATAATCGAAAAGATGTGGTAATATACGCCCTATTAAATTTCCTGACCCAAAGCTCGTATCTGAAATTCTGCTCTATGTCGAAGTAACAAAACGTGTTTTGGGCGGCACGCATCTCAAAACATTCGTATAACGAGTAACTCGTAAGTCGAGATACCACTGTATATTAAAAATAAATTGATCTCCAAAAATAGTCGAAAATATGTGGTAATATATGTCCTATTAAATTTCCTGACCCACAGCTCGTATCTTAAATTTTGCTCCTATGTTGAGGCAACAAAACGTTTTTTTGGTGGCTCGTTTCTCTAAACATTCGTATATCGAATCACTCGTAAGTCGAGGTATCACTATATATTAAAAATAAATTGATGATAGTCCAGTCAATATAATAAGTTCACCTCGGAATTCGAGATACCCAGGTGTAAGTCTGTAAAATTGTTTTTTTTTAGTGTCAATATACAAGTATTTACAGACTTACAGCTGGGTATCTCGAATTTCGAGATTCTTCTACCTAGTTTAAGCTTAAATGACTGGACTATGACCAAAAATGGTCAAAAAGATGTAATAGATGCCCGATTAAATTTCCTGGCCTTTCTTGAAATAGATATTTCTATTGAGTCTTTGTTATGATGAAGTTAAAATAAGTGCAAATTTTTACTGACAAAAACAGGTGAAAAGATTAAATGTGAATTTATTAGAAGCCCAAACAAATCTTCCTGATGATACTTGATTAACAAATATTAAAGCGGCTTCAAAAGATTAGTTCATTATTAATAACGTAAATCTTTTATTTTCAAATAAAAACTGATGCCACACCGCTTAATATTTGGCTGTCCAACGGAAATAGAGCCATGGAAGACCAAGGCTATTATCGCTGGAGCCACAAACAAGTTTATATTTAATATTCTTACATTATGGTGCCTGCTAATACAGCTAGTAGGTCGTTTTCTTGGTAGCTCATTGTTGTGTTTTGCTTTATGACAGGCCAAAGTGGCATTATAATCTACAGGAAAAGGTATGGTGACCAAATATGGTACTGTGTCGCGCTGAAGACACAGGGCATCAGCTACTAGTAGAATCAAATTACTGTATGGAATCATCTGCACTACATATGGTCTGAAAAAGTAAAAGATTATTTTTAATAATTACTCATCATTTAAATATTTTAAGTTTTAAAACACTGGCGTTTATTTAACATTTTAACATTTGACCAGAAAGGCATTTGGGTGCAATTGCTGTGAACGTTGCTCGGGCAAATTTGGTTTTTACAATTTTTTCAGATGTATGATTCCTTACTTACCGATCGCAACCTTTTGCAGGTAAATTGTAAGGAGTTCTTTCTCCTTCTCGAAATTGTTGTAGTTGATATAAAAGCACCTAAAAATTACCAACTAATTAATAAATTGCATCATATAATTTTTTATCAATGGTATAGTTTGATCTATACCTGTTGATCACATGGCTGAGGACGTGTTCTGTTAATCAGTACTCGCACATCATATTCCATTTTCTTGGCTGATTTTGACACTGGTTGAGATGTTGTGGATTCTGGTATATTATCAGTTGTGAAGAAGTCAGGTCCTGATGATCCACTTTCATAGTTCATGTCGTACATTGCTTAAAATTAATTCAGCATATTGAAAAATTACTATAAATTAGGGTAAAGTATGTTGTCGTTTCATAAATGTTGGTTAGTCGATGTTTGACAAAATCTTCAGATAATTTAGTATTTAAAATTCAGACAGATTTAAAAAATTACAATATCTATTAACAGTTTAAGATATATTCCATACCCACCTTCATCATTTGAATAACTGAACGCATATCCATGAACATTTACAAGCAAAGAAAGAATCCAAATCAATCGACTAATTGTCCAATCCAAAATGTTCATTAGTTGAAGCGTCTATAACCAAAGATTCATTTCGGAATTTAATATAATAAATTATGAAAATATAATTATACTGTTTTACGATATTAGAATTATACTTAGAGAATGAAATAATAGAGATGCCTATCAATTTTCATTTATCTTACCGCAGACAATTTAGAAGCTGGATTGCTAGTTTCAGTTGGTTTGAAGCACACAGCTTGATAATCGACTATTTCTATTTGTCTATAAACTCGGTCCTGGATCAAATGCAACATCAAGTGTGGTCGTACTTCTCCAAAGAATTTACCAGTATCCTCAGCAGAACTGCCAACAACTACGTAACCATTGTTGTCCAAAGCATAACAATCCAAATCACCACTTTGGCATGTTTTAGCACAGTTGACGGATTCTCCGCACTAATGGATAGAACAAAATTAATTATGGGTTGAAATTAGTGAATCTGATTTTGATTTAGTTTTATTTACCGAACTGGTGATGTTTCTGAAAAGTTGTGCCAAAGCAGAGTGACGAAATTGCATTCCTACCACAGCGGCTGGTGCGCTAGATTTTTGCCCTTGACGTTCTTCGGAATGGTAAATTGCGTGACTTGCAGTTACCAAAGTATCATTACGATCTCCTACAATATATATAGGATTTAATATATTTTTTCATCATACAAATATTTTATTTTGATAGTTACTTACCAACATCAAATGGTACCGAATATACAAAACTTTGTTTCTCGATAATATACTGTTCAACAGCTCTTCTATACCACACTTCGTCAATTGATTTAGCATGCTTTTCACTAAAATCGTGTCTAAAACAAAAGTATAAAACATAAAAGGAAAATAATACATGGTCAGATAAATCATAATTTTAATTTAAAATTATATCTACATACACGTCAGGGTTCATATCATCACCATAAAAATCTTTCCACCTGGTTAGACCACTGTGGGTAGCTACAAATACTACGGTTAAACCAAATCTTCTAATAAATTCCTTCCTATGAAAGCATGAAAATTAAAATAAAGTATTAATTTTAACGAATATGATTAATATAAATTAAATTTAATTGTTCAGCACCCTGAAAAGTGTAATGATTTGATGAAAACAATTTACCTTGTCCAAAGTTTGCTAAAAAGATCTATTATAACAAAATAGTCCATTGGTTTTATAAAATATAATATTTTTGGAGATCTTGTGAAATAATACTCGTATGAAGAATTTTACCACTAGTAGTCTGTTGGAGAAAAACTACAAATGATCATCAAATGTGAATGGATCTCTGTCTAGGATTTTTTATGAGGAAAGGAAAGAGTACCAACAGGGTCTGCAGGACTTATTGCTAGACCATGTCATAAAATTCTATGGAATGTAGTGAAATAAAGTTTTAAAATATACAATATTTAATGTCGTAAGTTATTTTTGGGTATTATAATATATAAGATACAGTGAACAGACATGGGTCACAGGTTGGAGTAGGCCACCCGAATAACTCTAACAAGTAAGTATGTCGAACCGCGTATATATTTATCATATTTCCTAGAATATGTGCTTAAATGTTGCAAAATGTTTTAATATCTCACTACATTTTCGGAAAACACAGTAAATGCACTGTTTTGCCATTCAAAAAAAGGAATACTTCTAAACATAATTGTAAGCAAATGCTATGATAAAAAGTTGCATTTTG